TCAAAGGCAAATTAGGCGGTTGAAAATGAATGACCACAAGAAATCGGCATTCATTTGAAACGTTTGCTCAAAACTCCAGATGTTTTAAAGTTTGCCGTCCCGAGATTCTCGCATGAACACGGTCGTGAAATCACTGCTAACCACGAACGTGGGGTGCTGGTTTGCGTACAAGTGGATCTACACATGAAAGGCGTGGGTCGTGTATAAACACGTTGGAGCATCAACGAGCTCCAACCGACAACTTTTTCCATCTCGTTTTACGGGAGCGCATGCACTTGTTATACCCGGTTGACGTGGGGCAGTTCCAGCTAGGATGAAGTTGTCGATAATTACGCAAGTCGCTGTGAGCTCCCTAATACCAGATGGATTGTAGGATAAAACGCACCTTGCAGCAAAATCGTATGGTGACCATCCCCGAAGGACGTATCCGAGCATCACACCGTGTTCTCCCCCTCACACTGCCAGATCTGTTAAGTAGCGGGTCATCAGGAAGGCACAGTCGTTGCCTTTGCACTACCAACTATTCCAGCTTCAAAATGATTCGTATCCTATTTCAAGGGAAGTCAGGCCAGTAAGGTAGCTACGTCCGGTTAAACAAGTGCACAGGGGACAGCCGCCAGAACAAGCGGAATCAAAAACAAATACGCAGTTTTCAACGAAACAGCGTAGGTAGAAAGATGTGCATGGCATGCCTGATAATGACGGGCCGTTATTTCTATCCGTCTTGTCAATAGGGTACATGGAACGATATTGTGTATATGTAACTAAATTGGTTGTGAAAACAGACAAGAATTGTATCAGTTGCTCGTTATCAGGTTGACTATTCCATGTGAATGCCATATGATTAGAGGAGCTGCCGCAGCAGCAAAGAGTGAGGAGGCATGGCTTCGTTTTGATGAATAATACCTACACCCTCAGACATCATGGCACCAGAAGTTCAACAAGCCTTAGCGGATGAGCCAGGGATGGAAATACCTTCAGTAAACGAGAGCCACAAATTGCCTGAGCTCAAAGACAGGCCAAAATTAAGGTAAAAGCAAAAACAGTGGGGAGATGCACGAAAGAATATAGACTGACGGTCGTCGGGTGCTTTACTAACAGTCCTTCGGGAAGTTGGCGCAAATTCTCACACAATGAACGGGGTAAGAGATAACAATAACTGGACGGGAAATGGTACAGGAAGCTATTTCAGATGTGATTCATGGTTACAGGGCCTACACAAATAAATACGTATCTCACGGTTAAATATCAAGACTACTAAGAGGAGAGCTTAATGACACTACTGAAGTGTTTCTAGCGTGAGTTGTGGCAACGTAAGACGTCCGGTCCAGTGATCGGGAAGGTTAGAGCCGATGATGTTTCAGAAGCTTCTATGAGAGAATGGCGCGCAAACATGGGAGATCTCGTTTCATAATTAGTCTATGGCTTGATATCAGCTCCGCTCTCGCATCTGATGTAAGCTGAAGGTTACTACGGATATTATGCAACCTCTACGCAGTGTTCGTTTACTATTGCTGAACAGTCAATGAATGTCCAGAAATGCTCAAGAAGACGCGTGAGAATGTCCAGTTTTCAAAAAAAAATCCGTGCAGATGAGATGCTTATCATTGTGTCTAGTTACTTGTAACCGCTTAGCTCGTGTTTGATTCTAAATAACTTCGCAGTGAAGGGCTTTCCTGATTTCATCTGGACAGTATTCATGATGCAATCAGCAGCTAATCTATTCACTTTGCCGCTGTATGCACTTTTGAAGAGGGCCCTCAAATGTGCAATGCCAAATGAGCCGCCATGATCCTTTAGGTACCGGCTAGACCAGTACCGTGAGGACCCGACAGTCACAATGAAAGATGCCCTAAAGATTGATTCTGTCTGCACATACAGCAGTGGTAATGAGTGTCACATGCATCAGCTCTCAGACTGGCATGTTTACACAGAATAACTTCGCAGTGAAGGGCTTTCCTGATTTCATCTGGACAGTATGCATGACGCAATCAGCAGCTAATCTATTCACTTTGCCGCTGTATGCACTTTTGAAGAGGGCCCTCAAATGTGCAATTCCAAATGAGCCGCCATGATCCTTTAGGTACCGGCTAGACCAGTACCGTGAGGACCCGACAGTCACAATGAAAGATGCCCTAAAGATTGATTCTGTCTGCACATACAGCAGTGGTAATGAGTGTCACATGCATCAGCTCTCAGACTGGCATGTTTACACAGTGTGTACCCTCTTCTCATTGGCCGAACTCAGTGTTACCGAAATATTCTAACGGCAAGCGATTCTGGAGAATGGACCGCACGACTAAAACTGGATGCTGGAAGACGTGCTGACTCCAAAATACTGTACCCAAATGTTCCCGGAAGGGGCTCATGTTCTATGGATAAGTCAATAGGCAGGTTTAAATGTCACCAAGCTGGAAAAGAGCTTATGCGGTAATCAAAGGCAAATTAGGCGGTTGAAAATGAATGACCACAAGAAATCGGCATTCATTTGAAACGTTTGCTCAAAACTCCAGATGTTTTAAAGTTTGCCGTCCCGAGATTCTCGCATGAACACGGTCGTGAAATCAATGCTAACCACGAACGTGGGGTGCTGGTTTGCGTACAAGTGGATCTACACATGAAAGGCGTGGGTCGTGTATAAACACGTTGGAGCATCAACGAGCTCCAACCGGCAACTTTTGCCATCTCGTTTTACGGGAGCGCATGCACTTGTTATACCCGGTTGACGTGGGGCAGTTCCAGCTAGGATGAAGTTGTCGATAATTACGCAAGTCGCTGTGAGCTCCCTAATACCAGATGGATTGTAGGATAAAACGCACCTTGCAGCAAAATCGTATGGTGACCATCCCCGAAGGACGTATCCGAGCATCACACCGTGTTCTCCCCCTCACACTGCCAGATCTGTTAAGTAGCGGGTCATCAGGAAGGCACAGTCGTTGCCTTTGCACTACCAACTATTCCAGCTTCAAAATGATTCGTATCCTATTTCAAGGGAAGTCAGGCCAGTAAGGTAGCTACGTCCGGTTAAACAAGTGCACAGGGGACAGCCGCCAGAACAAGCGGAATCAAAAACAAATACGCAGTTTTCAACGAAACAGCGTAGGTAGAAAGATGTGCATGGCATGCCTGATAATGACGGGCCGTTATTTCTATCCGTCTTGTCAATAGGGTACATGGAACGATATTGTGTATATGTAACTAAATTGGTTGTGAAAACAGACAAGAATTGTATCAGTTGCTCGTTATCAGGTTGACTATTCCATGTGAATGCCATATGATTAGAGGAGCTGCCGCAGCAGCAAAGAGTGAGGAGACATGGCTTCGTTTTGATGAATAATACCTACAGCCTCGAACATCATGGCACCAGGAGTTCAACAAGCTTTAGGGGATGAGCCAGGGATGGAAATACCTACAGCAAACGAGAGCCACAAATTGCCTGAGCTCAAAGGCTGAGGCCAAAATTAAGGTAAAAGCAAAAACAGTGGGGAGATGCACGAAAGAATATAGGCTGACAGTCGTCGGGTGTTTTAGGTAACAGTCCTTCGGGAAGTTGGCGCAAATTCTCACACAATGAACGGGGTAAGAGATAACAATAACTGGACGGGAAATGGTACAGGAAGCTATTTCAGATGTGATTCATGGTTACAGGGCCTACACAAATAAATACGTATCTCACGGTTAAATAACAAGACTACTAAGAGGAGAGCTTAATGACACTACTGAAGTGTTTCTAGCGTGAGTTGTGGCAACGTAAGACGTCTGGCCTAGTGATCAGCAACGTTACAGCCGAGGATGTTTCAGGAGCTTCTATGAGAGAATGGCGCGCAAACATGGGAGATTTCGTTTCATAATTTTAAGCAGGAGCAATAGAAAAGTACTTGTTCAGATGCGATTTGAGAAGCGAAAAACTGGAAATAAAGCAGGGTTGTGGGTAGCTTGATGAGAGTAGATGGTGAAGCAGGGCGGTAGCAGCAGTGTCGGTCCCTTGGTCGGTCAGGCAGTTTAACCCAGTGTATCTCGCTCGATGAGGGATCTAGCCCAAGTG